GGGACGTGTGAGATCGTCAAGTCCACTTGTCCGCCCAGCGTTGCCACTGTAAGCCCTAAGACACATCACCGCAGCGCCAGATGCAGATGCTGCTTGAACACCCCCAGGGATGGGAACACCCCCATCACCTCTGTGGGCAGCTTATTTCAATGCCTGACCACCCTAACAGTGGGGGGAAAAATCTCCCCTCTCAGCTTAAAGTCATTTCCTCTAGTTCTCTTAATACAGGCACAATAGAAGAGACCAGCCCCGACCTCACTATAACCTCTTTTCATATGTTGTAGAGAGCAATGAGGTCTCTTTTTAGCCTCCTTAGACTAAAAAAACCCAGCTCCCTTAGCTGTTCCACATAGGATGTGTTTTCACTGGACCTGCTCCAGCATCTCAGTGTGCTTTTTAAAGTGAGGGGCACAAAACAGAACAGAGTCCTTGAGGTGCCGTTGGTACTGTGAATCCTGGATCCTGTGAAATGGGGTCACCCTGAGTGCCAGAGAGCCCTGAGGTAGCCTGGTGTTGAAGTAGGTTCCTTAGTAGTGCATCGTGTTCCAAGCAACCTCGAGGGAAGACTCAGCCCAGGTACCAGCTCTCAGCTGCACCCTGTTCCATAGGCACCACATGCATGGCACTCATGTATCTCAGCTTGCAGTCTGTGTCCTGCCCTGTCCCTCTCTCTTTTGCAGGCCATAACAAGAATGTAGGTGGACCATGTCCTCAGGGAAGCAGTAGAAAGGTGTCTAGGACAAATGACAAGTAGTTCTCAATCCTCACCGCTGTTTGGAGCAGTTGTTGCTAGTCTCAAGTCAGGGACAACAGTAAAATCGCTTGCATGCCTGCTTGAGCAATGCAGACAAAATCAGAGAGCACTGAGTTTGCTCTTATTTGAGATCCTTTATTGGCAGACACAGGCTGTTTCCATTGAATCAGCTCAGCTGGGGAAGAGGGAAGACACAAGATTCAATCTCACTGCTTTCTCAATATTGTAAGTCAGCAGAAGAGCCCTCCAGGAGCATGAATGGTGTATTTTAATGTGTGTGATGGCCAGCAGTCAGGCTGTGGCAGGAGGGCTTCAGGAAGAGCCCTGTGTGTTTCCCTGCGTGTATTGTGGCTGCAGGGGCTCCAACATGAGAGACGTGCAGTTTCAGTCATGGGCAGCAGCACAGTTGTGGTGAGGGTGGGAGTGTTAAATAGTCTTGACTTCCAGCAGTGGCTTGATACACTCATAATGACATCTTTGTGGCAGATGTATTCGATTCAGATGCACTTCAGAAATAATTGCCAGTTAATTAACCTTATTCTATGGAATGATGGCTTTTGCTGCAGGGTTTTTCTGCCAGAGGATTCCAGCTTCCTTTCCTGTAAATCCTCTGTCTATTGTTTTCTTACATTTCTTTCTTCAAAATATACAAAGATTACAGATCCTTCTCCTTCATGCAAGGCTCACAAATATACAGACATTCAACCAGAATTAGGTACACGGGCAGAATTACATTTTTTAAGCTTCTTTTATGCAAAGATAGAAGAAAATGCAGATTTAGAACCTGGGTCTACAAACAAGTTTCCTTAGGTTTAGGCTTCTCTGTGAGCTTGGTCTCAGTGATGTCATTCAGAGTATTCCTGTGGGCAAAGCTGTGAATAGGTACAAATAATTATAGGAATAGGTCTGAAGTCTGTATTAGAAGTAGAATGGACAGATTTAGTACTGACAAAGATTTGTTTTCTTGCCAGTATCAAAAGAAGAATTCCCAGTCCTGTAGAAAAACGCATAGCACAGCATTGTCCATGTCATTAAAAAGCTGCAGGCAAGTGCCTTTGCTTTAAAACAGGATGACACTTTTTCAGCATTGCAGCAGCAGCTTATGGTTATTTAATGCCACTGAAGGTTGCAGTCATGCACCTTGATGAGCACAGTCAGACTCCATCCTTGCTCAGAGCGACACTGAAATCAGCAAGGCTTTGGGTGTGCCTAGAGACTGTCAGCATCTATTGCATTGCAGGGCTGGGAATTTAGGAGTCATTTCTGTCTTCTTCTATCCATAAGTGAGTCCTTTTGAAACTAACAAGAGCAGAGTCTGTGTGAGAGTGTGATAAGGCAGAATGTGAAGTCAATGAGAGAGCAAAACAACTTTCCTAAAGATACAAGATAGAAAATCTGCCACTTTCCTTGTTTGTACAACGGCTTGTCACCTCTTGCAGTTCAAAATGTGCCCTGTTCCTAATTTAAATATCTGGCTTCAGCTCGTAGTCACTAATCTTTGTCATTTGGGTTTATCTTTTTTCTGCTAGTTTGTGCTGGAATGCAGACCTGGTGCAAAGCATTTTTTTCTTGGTGAAAATACTTGTGCCAGATTCTGCCTGGATACTCCTGTGGTTCTGTCACTGAGCTTCTGCCCTAACCTTGAGTCAGTCAATTAACTACTTGACCTGGAAAAAATGTGGGTAGTAGGATTTAGCAAACGAGGCCATTTGCAGCATTAAATGCCTGTTTGTCCAGCATTTAACAGTCCTCCAAAGGAAAGTGCTACAGAAGCTTGTGAGCTGCTCCATTAATGTCTGCTCATTGAAAGCTTTATGCAGCAATGGGAAGATGGAATAGTGCACCGAGTTTCTGTTGGTTGCATTGATCAAACTTAATTTAACCTCTGTTTATGCTTCTTACCCTCTCAGAAATTGCTGTGCCGTATTCCCATGCAGCCAAGATCTCCTCAGGAATGCAGGATATTGGTCACTGAACCTCACCATCCATGCAAAAGTAAATGAATTATATGATTCAGTGGTTACCAGATATACAGCTCCCCCTCTCGTGTTGAATTCCCACATTTCTCATTCCTCCCTCTCTCTCTCTCTTTGTGATTACTCTCCCATTTTCTCTGTCCCCAGTGCTAGAGATTATACACACAGTATTCCTGGTTCCAAGCTGTACTGCTGCCTTCCTGGTTTTGTGGAAGCTTTCTCTGCAGGAAAGGAAGAAACATGGTCACTACTCTGCTGGATGAAAGATGAACAGCATGACTGAAGAATGTGTCACGGGGAGCAGGGAGCTGGGGGCAGCCCCTGCACAGTGCTTTTGTAGGTGCTGAGGAGCTGGGAAGCATTTCCCAGATTGGTGGCAGAAGCCATCACATCATGTTTCCCTCTACTGATGATGTGTGAGATATGTTTAGGGAGACTTTTTTTCTGTTTTGATGCTAACAGAGGCTGGGGCTGGAAAGGAAAGCTATGATTTTTGGCAAAGCTTGCAGGAGGTGACATGGGAAGAAGGAAGGGTCTCTCTGCCAGGACCAGCTTGCCACACTCGCTCTGCTCCCACGGCAGACAGAAGGGGATGGTGGGGGGTGGCGTTGTGAGGCCTCACACAGCTCCACCCCAAGGTCACCTCATCTGCCTTTACCAGCTGCAGCCTGATGCTTCCCACAGGTACAGGTGCCCTAATACTCATCGTTTCTCTGCAGGCCACTGTTTCCAACCATGCTGGAAGGGCAGAGAAATAAGATGGGGCGATAAAAAGAACAAGTGTTAAGGAAGGAAAGCTGGAAACAACAGATTCCTTCCCCCAGCACCCTCTGTGAGAATTGGGAGAGCCAATGTGGAGAGCTACTGCCAGAGAAAGGGGGAATGATGAGAGTGTGCTGATCCCCCCCAGAGAGAGTCAAACCACTCTGCAAAACAGAGTTTGTACTGTTTTAGGGCAGATGGATTTATGAGGGAGGCAAATGGGTTGTTTCATATCATTTTATTGATCTCCTTGATGCACTAACCAGAGTTTCATCTCCTTGAGTCCTGGGATTATGTGAACTTTAAAAAAAGAGAAAACAACTTTATAACAGAATTGTTTCTAGATGTCATGGCTGCAGGGAGAAGCTTCAAAACATGACTCATAAGCATGTGAAATACCAGAGAGCAAAACTAAAGAGATTTCAAATGATTAGAAAACACAAACAAACTAGTAATGTTGGAGTCCTACTCATCTGAAATGCTTGCTTTTGGCAACATCTTGTCTCACCAGTTCTTAACACCACCTGCTGCCAACACAGATATTTGCCTTTCTGTGGGCTTGGTATCTCCACAAAACATCCACCCCAAAAGCTGTGACTGTAGGAAGGGTCTTTGTCCAAACAAAGATTAATCATGAAACAGATGGGTCGGTCCACCAACACTTTTGCACATAATCTGATGTGCAGCTGCAGTGTGTGCTCAGTAGTGGCCCCAAGAGGGGAGAGAGTTTGGGGGACTGGCTGGAGCCTGCTCACCATCATGTGCCTCTGTTTACTGTCCTCAAACCCTACAAAGGTTGGGAAATGTGATACTCAGGTACTTGGGTGACAGGCTCATTAAAAGGGGATGAGAGGGAAGCTTTAGCTAAGCATCAGCACAGGATGGGATTTTGAATTTAATTTTTGTTGCAAAGACTGTTGGAACAAGATCTTTTTTAGTGATGGGCTGCTAACCACTGACACCCACTGTGGACAATGGTCCTGAGAGCTCATTTCCCAGGATTTGATTATGTTTTGAACACCTGCAGTACACCAGACACCTGAGCAATGGTCACACATAGATGACTAAAGACAATCAAAGGACTAAACACTTCTGCTTCCCTGGGTGTGGAAATAGAAGGTGTTTCTTTCCATATGGATTTGTATCCTATATTCCTGTAAGTCCCCATCCACACCTCCTATTGCCACATCCTTTTCACAGTGAGAGTTCACTTCTAACATGGCATGTCAGGTTCCTCAAGTTTTCCTACTGATTAGGTGAGAGACACTTGATGGTGTGTGTGATTTGAAACTCAGGCCAAGTAAAACATACAACCATTAGCTTCCACTGAAACACCTTAATAAGGGCAGCTCTTTAGGTTTCTTTCCTCCATCCAAGCCACTGATTGTCACTAAGCTTGCCAGCTTGGCCATGCAGGAGCACAGGAGCCAATGCTCTTGCAGCCAACCAAGCTAAGAAAGCCATCCCTCCCCAAAGAAGAAAATCCAGACCATTTTTTTTCCATATAGTATGGTTATTTTGAACGTCATAACTTTATTGAGACACCAGTAGTTACCACCTTCACTTTGTTAACCACAAATATATAGGACATTGTAAACACAGGTGCCGAGGTGGCGGGGTTCGCTGTAGTTGAATTTCGGAAGGGACGGGGGCAGGGGCAGGAGGAGGAGGAGGAGGAGGAGGAGGAGGAGGAGGGCTGAAGGGACACTCGGGCTTCGACAAGACCACTCAGAGGATCCTGTATGCGGCAGGCCATCCATGAGTCATCGGGTATACGTATATATGTATAGCTTTATATTATACATCTCTTTAAATATATATATATAATATATATACTATACACAGGCAGTAATGTGGCAGGGGAAGGGGCAGGGCAGCCCAGGTGGTGTTACAAATGCCACACAGGCAGCAGGGAGTTGTCTGGATGGATGGTTTGAACTTGCTGCATGAGGTGGCCTCACTGGGTTCCTTACCTTGTACCTGCTCTGGGGATGGGAGCTGAGACTCCTGTGGGGATCACCCTGCAATGCTGCCTTCCTGGGTCCTCCCAAGTGCTTGCAAGGGTACAGGGACAAAGACACCTCCTCCCCTGTGGGAACTGCCAGGAATAACGCAGAGAGGAAGGGCGTGTGATGAGGTGATGAACAGGGTGGCGGGGACATGGGTGATCCAGGGATGGGGACACATCAGGAGGCTGAATGCACAGACAGAACTGGGGCAACATTTCATCATCTCTTTGCCATTCACAGCCTCTGCCTCCACAAAACAGTCCCTTACTTGGGGGCTTCATAAAATAAGAAGACATTAAGGGGCCATTGCTCCCAAAAAGGGATGTGTAATCCCTGTAATCGGGACAAATGGCAGAGGGGGAAGAAAGCTGCCTTATCATTTTGCTTATACAGCCTTCCCTCTGATCTCCTAATCTCTAGAGCAGGGCTGATCTCACCCACACTTAGAATGTAAAAGGGATATGTTCCAGTCAGCTGCTCAGGTCTCGCCTATGATCACCAGAAATAGGCAGCACCTTATCAGAAGCACCTAAGATAAGATAACCAGCCCTTTGGGTAGGTCTGTATGTCTCATCAGCTGCAGAACCAGCCAAATGCCATTGGAAATTGCATTCTGCATTTTAAAGGGCTACATGCAAACAAGCAGAGTCCCACTCCCAGGTCTGCTACCAACAACCCTCCACTGCAAAGGCTGAAAGCACATGAACCCAAGCAGAGTGTCTTCTCCCCTAAGCAAAAGCAAGAACTGTCTTGAGTATCTACTGCTGTAGTGTCACATCAATGCTCTTCTTATGACACAAAGCAAGGAGAACAACAGAGAGATGGGAAGTCACCCAAGATGAAGTCACTTGGCTCATGTCCCACTGAAGTGCTGGTTCTGAGGGGGAGGCTCATTCCTGCCTCAAGCCCACCTGAGCCATCAGCTGGTTACATGAGGGAAGCAAGCCCAAGAGGGTAAAGAAAAGCTTGCTCATTAGTCAGCCCCAAATGGCGTTTAGGCACCTACACAACTCTGATGGGAGAAGGGGCATGCAAGATACCCCTGCACCACAGAGCCCCAGGTAGATCCCCCACATACTGCCTGTACCTCTCCTTATGTGCCTAGTCACTCACAGAGGAGGGGCCTCCCAAAAGGTACAACATATTTTTGTGCTGAGGGATGGTTCCTTATAGCCTCCACCTCCTCTCGGTTCCCTCCCCACACCCCAAAGGAAAGCATGAAGGATGACACAGATGAATCTAGGTGAGTACAACTAACTTCTCTCCTCCTCCACCTCATCATTCAATTCTTCTTCCCTGGTGGGAGACAAACAGGAGGGTGCTCCCCCCACATCCAGTCACAACAAACCTCTCTCAATAAAGTAAACCTGTCCCAAGCCTAAATATTAGGCTGAGCCCACAGAAAATGAAGCTCGAGGGGCTTCCTTCCAAAAGGTACCCCTCTTATTTACAGTATTGCATTCACTGCTAGGCACAGAGCAAGGGACGTGTGCCTGTGCCCAGTCATTCCTGCTGTGTCCTTAGGGCCACCTGATCCCCTCTCCTGTCCTCACCAGTGGGTAACAACCAGTGAGACGGGCCAAGCCTGGGGAGGACAAGCCATGGGGACAGCCACCAGCAGCACAAATGTGCCAGAAGGAACAGGGAGAAACGGTGCCTGTATATACAGTGGAGAACACTGCTCCACTTCCCCCTGCTGCTCTACAGTTTCTGCCCCTTCCTTATCATTGTGGGGCACTGGGAGGAGGGAAGGACTGGGAACCTTGGTGTCCTCCAGATAAGATATTCACACAACCACAGCCCAGACCTGTGTCCCATTCTCCCCACTCCTAAGGGGGCTATGAGGAATAGGCTGGATGTGCAGTGCAGGCACTGACAGATTTTGGATCTGCTCCTGATCTCTGCTACTGGGACCAGTGTTGCATCAAGCAGCATGGCTGCCTGGGGGATGGAGCTTCTCACTTCTGCAAGATAAAGTCTGCTTCTTGTGCTCTGAGAGATGTCTGTGCCCAGGAGAATTCTCTAGGTAGCTATTGCTGAATTATTTCCATTTAGAAGAAACCTGGAATCTGTCTTCAGGCACAGACCTAACTTCTAACTTGGAACAAAGAGTGAGCTTCCACAGTTGTGTCTTTACTTGGAGCACAGTCATGAAGTGTGTGGAATGACACCCATAAGAGCTCTATCTAACAGTCGCTGCTGCCACCTAGGCGAGGCTTTAGAGTCAGCCAGGATCTGAGATGCTGCAGAAGAGCACTAAGGTATGGTCTGTGGCAAGTACAGAAAGACCAGTTTTCAGTCAGCTCAGTCTGGCCCCAACCAATTCTCTGCACACCAAGACCTCTTCCCTATCCGAGTGGGAGGCAAAGCACAGCCGTACAGGGCAGGACCCTTCCCACTTGGCTGCACTCCTGCGCAAGAGCCAGACACATGCTGGCTATCCCAGCAGCAGCATTTCTTCCTAAGTGGGGTCCTCCTCCATTCCTGTGAGCTACAAAGATGGTGTCAGCAAGAGGCTTTGCACTATTCTAAAGGAACAGAGGAACAGAGGAAGGTTCAGCAGGACCTGAGGAGCAAAACTGTCTTTCTTTTCCTCCTGGTCTGGGTGAAATGACAAAGCTCCCCTCTCCTCCTCAAACCAGCCTGGCTGGATTGAAGACTCTCTTCTAGAAAGCTCAGCTCCTCCATCCTTCCTCCCACAGGCACAGTGTCTGGGCCCAGAGGCTGGCCATGGCTCCCCTGCTGCCTCATCAAACACTGGTCTGGGAAGAGCAGTGACTAGCAGGATGTACAGACAAGGGGAATCACCTCCACCTCAATCCAAGGGGGCTGAGGAAGGACTGAATCTCAGGGCACCACCCCTCTGCTCTGCTCAGTCTCTTGCTGTACCCTACAGACGTGCCTGCGATTTCTGATTGTACCTGCAAATCTTTCTTTTTCACTTCCCATTTTTTCTTCTTGTACTCTCCTCCTCTCCAATACCACTTCTCCCAAACCCTCTAAAAATAAAGGACCCCTCCCTCACTAGCATGTGGCAGGGAAAAGCTCCCCTGTCTTTACATGGAGAATGCTGTTCCTTCTGTCCTTCAGGCCCCTCCTCACACTCTTGAATGCTGACTCCAACACCATTCTCCTCCCTGAGCCACCAGGTGCTCCAAACCAATGTGGATGCTCCCACATCTACTCCAGCCTTTAGCAATACTATCTCTTCTAGGAAGGTCCCCGGTCCCTCTCATTTCTTCTGTTCTGCCTCCAACACCCTTTCCCCTGCCCTGCCAGTGCCATAGCTCTTCTCCTGTTCACAAGACAGACTCTGCCCTCTGTAACAAGGCAGAGGGAGAGGAGGAAAGGAGGGACTTTCCTTTCAAAATGCAGATTTTGTAAGAATTTGGTTCTGGCAGGTAGCTTGGTGGGAGAGGAGAAGGAATAGGTGATGGGGAAACCTTTTTTTCCTTTTTTTTTTTTTTTGCCTTTTTTAAAAACAATAAATAAAAACAGATGACCCAGAAGGCTGGAGCATAGCTGAGAGCCACCTCTTGTACCACTATGCACGTGTCTTGTTTGTGCCTCGGCTTTCTGCCGACAGTGGGAACGGGGGCAGAAGGGAAAGGGGAAGGGAAAGGGGCGTCGGTGGCTCAGTAGTTCTGCGTTTGGTACCCCTGTGTCTCGGTGTCGAAAGCATCTGCTGGAGGGGGCTGCTGGTACGTCCCCACCGCATCTGGAGCATCCTCCTCGTTGGTGTAGGGAGCATAAGGCATGCCGGAGTCCTGGCTTGGGTCCATGTAGTCCTGGGAGAAGAGGGCCGAATCGGCACCCAGCTGGAAACGCTGATATGCCAGGAACGCCTGGCCCACCTTTAAGGGAGGAGGTGGAGGGAAGACATGGGAAGCAGAAAGGGAAGAGGAAAAAGAGGAGGAACGTACCGAAAAAGAGAAACAAACAAAAGTGGGTTAGTAGTGGTTACGGATTAGTGCACGAGGCCCACCTGGCAGGTCACCGGTGAAACGCCCCACGAGCATGGAAGTCCACGCTCTCCCATAGAAAGCACGAGTCCACAAGGAGAGAGAGCAGGGATGGCTGCAAGACCAGCTGGCTGTGTGTGGCCTGCCAAAGCTCCCTGCTTTCTCTGGGATGTTCAGGGCACTTCCTGTCTGCCAGTGGGGTTTCACCAACGTTGCACAGGTGGCAGAGGCTCAGTTGGCACTGGTTATCCCAGTCAGCCCCTCCTGGCTGTGGGAAGGCAATCTGCCTTGGCAACACCAGAGGGCTTGGCTGCTGGGCTGCGGCCACGAGGCCATTTGACTTGTAAGGGCCAGTGAGGAAAGCAGGGTTTGACACAATGTACTGAGGTAGAGGTCACCCCCTGAAACACCTTCACCAGTCAACATCTGCAAGGTGTAGCACAGACCTTGGGAAGGAGCAGCAGGAAGCAAGGCAGCTGCTTCCCAGACCAGGGGACAGTTAGCAAGCAAACTGCTGTCTCCTGCCTCAAGCACCTTTTGGAGGACTGCAGGAGCCTGGGCACGGGGTTCAGCAGGCACGGCTCATTGTCCCAGAGCATCCCTGAGAGAGCTGAGGAGTCTAGCAAGTGACGGGGGAAAGGTTTTTGGGGAATGAGGTCTGGGAAGAAATGGAAGAGATAAAATAGTGGGGGCAGAGGGCATCTCCTGGCTGAAGTATTAGGTCTGAGCAGTCATCAAAAAAAGGCACAGTGGTGTTACACAGCATTAGTTAGGGTATGGGTGAGGGAGAGAAGGGAGCAGAAGAGGACAAGAAACTGCCAGTTCCAACTCTCCAGAGGGAGATCCCCCGTTTAATGGACAACCCCACTCCAATTCAATGGCCCATATCTTCCCATCCCATGCCCTGCAGTGAGCACACATTCATAGTCAGGGCATTGGAACCAGCTCTGCTCAGTGACCTCCTCCAGCTGCATCCCTCCACCCCTTCCCCCAAATTCTCTCATCAGCAAAGGGCACTAAGGCAGCAAGGATGGGGAATTAGGGAACAGAGTATTGTATTCCTCCTGAAAATTAATGTCTCCAAGTCTCCGGAAAGCCAGAAATGCGAGGCAGCCCTGTGAGGAGAGAGAGGGTTGTGGGAAGGAGAATCAGTAAGGTAGAGCAAACCAGAGTGTTTGACTGAAATAAAAAGCCCCCTGAGGAATCAGGGGAAGAGGATGCCATTTTGGCCACTTGCAAGCCTGTGCATGGGAGAGGATCACTGCAGATGATGGCACCTCCAAAAGTGTCCTGAGGGACCCCTTGCAAAAACCCTGCTGCTTGTCTCACTTTCTGCTGGAGCTTGCAAGGAGTTTTTGGCAGCTCTCAAGTGCAGGACACAGCTCATGAAGGGAACACACACTGCTGTCCCTCAATCCTGCCCGGTGTCACTGTGGCGAGGGTGCTGACAGCACAACCCTTAGCAGCCCCCCTTCCTCTTTGACAGCTCCTTGGTTTTATGGCACCTTTCCTATCTGGCCCCTGCCCAACATCAGGGCCTGTAGGAAGAGGAGAAGATAAAGCCACAAGGGCTTATGCATGGAGACAAGGGTAAAATGCTTTCCTGCTTGGCACTATCCTGTCACTTCAGAAAAAATCACTTGTGCTTGATGCACTCAGAGGCAGGAGGAAGTAATCAGAGATATTTATATTTCACCCAACAGTTTTTCCAGGAAACTGGCAATAAAGAACTGCTGAGGAAAGGGCACTTAAGACAGCACTATCACCTTCCTAAAAGGTGACACAGTGAGGCGGCACTCCAGTGGTGGGTGCAGAATCCAGAAGAACAATGATGACATTTTGCATGATTGGAGCAAAGGTGGGAGGGAGATGGGTGCAAGCCCCGGCCTGCAGCTCCCTTCTCTGATTAGTGTCTGTAAGGTGAAAATGCTGTTAAGTCCTCTGACACACAGAGAAAACAGAAACCGGTTGTCCAGAGAAGTGGTGGATGCCCCATCCCTGCAAACATTCAAAGTCAGACTGAACTGGGCTCTGAGCCATATGAGCTCGTTGAACATGTCCCTGCTCTTTGCAGGGGGGTTGGACTAGATGGCCTTTTAAAAGTCCCTTCCAACCCAAATTACTCTATGATTCTATGACAATGGTGGTTGGGGAGCTGGCTTGTCCAAGGTCATATTAAAGATCTGTTGAGAATGCTCCTTACAGGGATATGAAACTCTCTTGCTCACTGTGCTTATTAGTGCTCTAAAACCTTTTTGCATGCAAGTTTTCGAGTCCCAAATTTATTTCTCAACCACCTCCTCTCCTGCATTTCCTTCTCAGAAGCCATGTGAACTGAGATCCCAGGGGCCCCACTCTTAGCCAGTCTCCTTTCATTCCTCATAAGATAATACAGCACAGAGGACATTAGATCCCATGTCATGGCTACTCTACTCACCCAGGTAAAGATGGAGAAGAACGAGAACGTGATGGCGGCTCGGGCTGCATCCCCTCCCTCATTCAGTGGATTGTCCTCTGGTTTCGAAGCTTGCCACTGGTTGGTCAGAAAGCAGAAGCCAACGAACCAGAGGAATGCCCAAAAGGCTGGGATGGATCATCACCAGCGTGCCAAAGGGAAGGACAAAGACAACAAGAAGATATGCGTGAGCATAACATACACATATTACATTTCTCTGGAAATTTCAACCCTCTGAGACCCACCACTGTGTTGCAGACTGGGCAAAACTGACTGCTCAGCCAGACTGAGCCCAAGAGAGCTGGCAGGCTCCCTGACAGCAAGCTGTCAAGGTGACCAAGAGGTGTCTGCAGAGAGGACCTCAGGAGAGTGCATTTGCTTGTGTTTGGATTGATCATAGGACCTGCATTTGGCCTTGGGAGGGAGCCTGAAGGGCTTCCAGTACTAGAGCAATCACCTGGGCTCTATGAAACAGCCACTGCTTCACAATCCTGTCCTGCAAGGACAAGCAAAGAGCAATTTCTTCCACGGGAACTGCAAAAGAGTGGGAAGCAGCTGGTCTGCAGTTACACGGAGACCAGCTTGTGCTCAGGACAGAACAGCTCAGGGACTCACATCAAGGAAAGGTGCTGAAAGATCACTAACATGCTGTGCCCCCAGGAAAGGGTGAAGGTAGGAGGTACTCACCCTCTGCCAAGCACGGGCAGACACCTGGCAGTGAGGGAAACAGGCAGTCCAAAGCAACAGTAAAACAGGGCACAATCCCTTCCCTTCTCTTGTCAGCTGTACATAGGAATGCCAGGCAAGGGGCTAACTGGGAAAGAACTTGCAAGCCCAAAGTCCTTAGCAAATCCAGGTGCTTCACCTGCTGCTGCCCTCACTCCATTCCTGGTCCCTCTGCCATACTCCATGGAGAGCCTGACACTGAGCAGTTTGCTGACAGCTGGAACAAGCCAGCAGGGCCAAAGGGCCGGGAAGCTCACCCGAGACGCCAATGTCCGAGAGCACAGCCTTCTTGCGGTCCTTGACGCTGCTGATCTGCGGGAAGTAGGCATCCAGGGCCAGGTAAAGAAGGCAGCTGAGGAAGGCGAGGACACCCACGGTAATGCCATAGTTGCAGGCATTGGGATTGCGGTTGAAGATGCAGTGCTCTTCCACCTCATCCACGCGGTTCACGTACCCTTCATTGACAATGGAGCCAAACACCACGATGGAGAACACCTGGGGGGGAGGGAGGCCGGAGACACATCAGGGCAAGCCCCATCTCTCTGCACCAGCAGAAAGGAGCAGAGCTCTGCAGGGGACAGACACCCTTCACCAGCACCTTTCTGCTCTGCTGAGCTCCTGCCCGGCTGCCTTGCCTGAGTTGTAGCCACAGGGAATTTACTGGGAACATGGTCTCATTTTATTTCTGAGGATTAACTTATAATAGGACATTTTTAGATTGAACCTTTTTATCCATCTGACCTAAAGCGATGCAAAGCAGTTGCAGTCTGGAATAAGGGTGGCTTCCCACAGACACATAGGGAGGTGACATGGAATGTAAATTGGGATATGGTTTTGGTGTGGGTGCCTGCATACAATGGCTTCTAGTAGTGGAAATCCTCTTAGTTTGCACTTACTCTCCCACTCACTCCTTTCTCTTCAAGAGATTAATTGTTTCTTCCATGCATCTGTTCACTGATTTTATCTATCAAGCTACTACACTCTTTACCCCATCCACCTTCCCACAATCCACAGCTGCTCTGCAGCTCCATTCTGCTGGGCTTCCATTCTCCCCATTTCCCCACACTACACACCTCTCTCCACCAGTTTTCCATCAGCCCACTCCATGACACCACCTATCCTGTCCACTTACCCATACGCCAACACCCTCCAATCTTCCCCATAGATTTCAGGGGCCAAACATCCCTACTCCAGGTCCACTTGTAAGGGCCACTTTGAGTCCTCCCTACCTGTCACCACCACTGCCACTGCATGTTATTTTAAATCAGGCAGAATTAAGGATGAGTGCAGGTAGAAATGCCCTAATCCGCAGTTGCTGGTCTAATCTTTGCTCATGGGCTTAGCCTTCGTCGCCTGCTGCAAGGCTGTCCCTCTTTGACACAGCAGGTTCACCAAAGCACAGAGCTATTTACAGCAGCCCCAGTCCTGCACCTTGCATCTCAAATAAACAGCTTCCCCACAGAAGAAAGAGGGGAATATTAAGGCAGCATGTACAGATTTTTCCTTCAGGACATCTGGAGACCCTCACTATGAACAGCTGACTGGATGCTGCCTGCAAGAAGAGCCTCAGAGAAATGGGAATGGGACCTCAAGCATGGGAGGAAATTACATATGAAGTGCACTAGGGCATCACCAGGGTACTCTGCCAGCCTGGGAGATGTCTGCACAACAAGACTTGGCACCTTTGAAACCACCCTCCCATCCCCAGGGAGAAGCAGCACACAAGAAGATGAGGCCAAGTCTCCTGCAGGAAGTGGAGCTAGGTCTGAGTGTTTGCCTGGTCAGGACTCCAGTTCCACTTAACCCAACCAAGCACCAGAAGACAACCCAGAAAAGCAGCTTTGTGAGTGCAGGGAAAATGTTGGATTAATGCCAACCCAATACACCACCTATTATCAGTGAGGTTGGATACCCAAGATCCAAAGCACAGACCTCTGCTGCTTGGCCTGGGGCATCAAGATCCAAAGGAAAAGCCTTACCCAGAGTCCCCCAACAGCCCTTGGGCAGACACTCAACATCAACCACATTTCACCTGCAAAACTCCAACAAATATCCGCTGACACCAATATTATTTTTTCACCTCAAGACTCATAATTGGGTCACACTTGGGTTGTTGAAATTGGGTGTATCACACTAGAGCAAACTAAAAAAAGCTGGAAGCTGGTGTTCCTAAGCGTAGGAGCTATATGGGTTCTCTGAAAATCATAAGAGCTTTTTAAGTTTAGAAGTAAAATAACCGATTTGTCCTCCTCCTCCTCCTCCTCCTTCTTCTTGCAAATCAAGATTGATCGTATTTCGCAGAAATTGCCCGTGAAAATTAAATAAGAACCTCTTCTGTTAGAGGCAAGATTTAGTCCTCAAAATTTCAGCCTGAATGGTTTGGAAAGCAGCAGAATTGCAGAAAATTACAGCCAGGCTCTTTCAGTGGGATGTCTCACACACCTTCACAACAGGCTGGGCTGGCAGGTCTGCTTAGGGTTATTGAATATAACACCCTGCTCCTCTGACCCAAGGGAGAGCCGACAGACTCCTGAAGTGACATCCCAATGTGAGGCTGTGACCAGCACTGATGCTGACACCTGAAGTACCAACCTCCACATACTGAGCTTACAAAGTGGGTGCCCTGTTCTCTGCAGCATTCAATAGAAAGCCTATCTTGTCTTTGGAAGGTGAGGAACAGCCTCTAAAGTAGCATAGTCTGGTGTTCAGTTTTGGTTTAGGACTCAAAACTAGTAAAATGGTGATTCCCTGAGTCAGACAAACCCTTGCAATGAGATTTATTGTGAGTCTCTGCTTACTCATTTGGGATGAATGAACTTTTGCAATGGTCTCTCCTCAGAGACACATCCTGATACACATCTCCTCTCTGCTTTGGGTTTGCTGCTGGGCTGGACAGAATAATTTCTTTTTGCATTTGCTCTTTCATACATCTTTATGCTGGCACATCATAAAGGCACAGCTCAAAGTCACAAGACTAGAGCTGTGCCTCTCCCTAATTTTCAAGCAGAGGTGGCATTTCTAACTTCCTTTCTCCACCTGCAGCCATGCAAGATGCCAGACTTCTCTCCTATGAAGAGAAACCTGTTTCACAGCCTGGAGGTGCCCAAGGTATGATTTACAGGCAAGCATCTGGTTTCAGATGATCTTAGGAGTTTTCTAGGGAGATTCCACTAAGCATGTTCTCACTTGTGAGCAGAATAAGACACTGTGGATGCTTATCCTCTCTGTCCTGAAACAGCCATCCCAAAGTACTCTTTGTCCTTAGGAAAGCTTTCTATGGGCCAAAGCACACTAGCTTACAAGATGTCTTCTTCTCTCTGTGTTTTTCCTCACCATTGGCATCAGCTCTGATCCATGCTCCACTTCCTGGCACTGCAGAGAGGGCAAAGAGAGGGCGTGCTCCCTTTGCCAGCCTGTCACCACCCTGGAGGCAAAACACTCTGAGGACCCACTGTGCACAGAAGCCTTGAGCTGGGCTGGGTTACTGCCCATTCACTGGGCAAGAATGGGCAGGCTCAAACCAGAGATTCCAGGCAGAGCTGGACAGCAAAAGAACCAGCTGCTGCTGCTGCTGCTGACAGGCAACATCATCTCTTTCATTGCCATGATGTCCATACCTGGAAACTGTTGTGACAACCAATTTTCTAAAAAAATCATAGTTACGAGCTTAGATCTTGCAGCCTTTAGGAGAAGCAGTTGCACACTTCATCCATGGCAGCTACTCCTTGTTGGTAAGGGAGCAGCTGGGTGGAAGCTCACTGATGTGGCAAGTCATCTTAGAAAGAGCAAATATATTTTATTTCCTTGATTTCACAATCCATGCCCTGCAAGATGATCCAGGCAGCAGATGCAGAATGAATGACTGCTTAGATGGTAAACAAAGCACCAAGTTTCAAGGATGAAGTGTTTACATTTCTGTTCCTGGCACATCTGCAGCACTTGTAAGGAAACACCAGTGACCACCAGCACTGGCACAAGCCTCTTACTGCTCTGTGTTACTGCTGCTTGTGTCTTCTCCCCCCATCTGACACCTGCTGCACAAAGCCTTGCCTACAGCCATTGATAAAGTGGCCCAAAAACCACATCCAACTGCAAAGAGGAGGTAAAGAGAAGATGGCAGAAGTCTTCTCCTGACTGAGCAGTGAGATGCAGACAAGTGGCTTGTCTGCAGGCCAACGGGAGGTCTCCCAAAGCTCCCAAATGCAGCCCATCCTTCCACTCTGCAGAGGGAGATCACTGGCCACTTTCCTATGCTTGGTAATGAAAACCAACCAACCATCCCCAGCTTTGTGCACTTAAGCTGCTTCATTTCTTCAGCAAGGATACTTAAGTCAGTCAACAGACTTGAACTAACTAGATTTTTAGGTTGAGAGGGTTTCTTTAAGCCTCCAAGAACAACATCAATTGGGCAGGTGTGTGGCCTGTCTGGAGGTACTCATTTAATAAGGAATAATATATTTGGCTACACTGAAAAAAGGGACAGAAAAGAGCACGTGGAAAAGATGTGACCAACTCAGCCCTGCTGCTGGGACTGGGCTTTGCTCCACTTCGCTGCTCCTTACACACCACATCCACATAGGTTGTTGCCATCATTTTCCTCGATTCCTGTTTCCATCCAAGAGTTTTGAGGACACCAAGTGCAGCCAGAGCCAGGTGCATTGCAAAGCTGACACAGGCAGAGCAATGTGCCAAGAGACGCAGCAAAATGAACTTAATGCTTAGCACTGCAGGGAGCAGACAGAGAAGCTGAGAGTTTTCCTCTCCTTGTTTCTCAAGGGGCTCATGCTGGCCTTTACAAGCATGTAAGGGTTCATTACAGTGAGAAAAGTGCAAACCAGGCAAAATTCTGCCTCTTGTCATAAAACACCTTTTTTTCCCCTTGGTAAACTAGGTGATCTGGTTTTGCCAAAGGCAAAGGTGAGAGATGAGAAGAGAGGCTCTCCAGTCCCTCCCCACTGCAGGCTCAACCCTGCAGAAAGCCAGGCAAAACCTCCTGAGCATCATGTGAGGCGCTTTCCACCATGCTGCCCATCCCCAGCCGTGCATCAGACGCTCCTGAGCATCATGTGATGGATGCAAAGCACGGCCAGCCTCTGGCAGTGCACTAGGATTTTCCTGTACCTCATCCCAGCACTCTGTCATGCTGCCTTCCTGCCTTCATCCCCAAGATCCCCATGATGGCTGTGGTTGGGATGAGGGTGAAGAAGGTTTCTGCCGAGCTGCCTGCTCGGGCTCGCTGCAATGCCCTCCAGTCACAGCCTCTGTCGCACTGCGTGCTGCCTCTCCCTCTCACATACCCCCTTTTTTATTCTGTTATAGAGAGGAAATAGTTTAATGACATAATATTCCTCATGGGACTTTAAATCAAATCCCCCTCTGGCAGAACGAAGCCATAACCTCTTCTGAGTTTGATCTGGTAATGACCAGGAATGAATCTGTTTAAAAAGAAAGCAAGAGCAGGAGAGGGTGCAAATGATAAACTGGCAGAGATGATC